ACCCACCCTCCCCCCCATCCCTTGTCTGCAGGCAGCCCCTCTCCTGCTGCCGCCACTCACACCCTCTGAAGGCATGGAGAGATTGGGGCTGCTGCCAGCAGTGAGTGTGAGTGGCGACTGCTACCCCAATCATCCCTCACGAGCAGGAGGAGGTGGAGAAGCCTGCAGGGGCGATCAGGGCCTGCAGCTGCCGCTCACACCCACTGATGGCGCTGAGCAATCAGGACCAGTGCCAGGCACCAGCAGCAGGTGTAAGCGGCAGCTTGGGTGCCAACTGCAGGTACAATTACTCTTTTTATAACTTTTCTCCTTCAAAATTACTGTTTTTATAACTTTCAAATATTTAAAGATATATATATAACATCACATATGATAAAATAATAGCATTAATAAATTAATTTATTGAAAAGATCCCTGCAGAGTGCCAGGCACTCACTATGAATTGCTGATACTCTTGAAATGATGCAACCTCTACTTTCAAGGAGTTTATTTTGATGAGGAAGACAAACAGGTAAAGAGGTTTGACAATATGGGCTGTTAGTGCTCTGATAATATTCTGGACAGTTTTGTGATTCATTTCATTTTAGTTTGTTATGCCCTCTATTCAGTTTCCACATAGTAGCAATAGACTTACCTGAATATTAAGGACATATGGATTGATATATAATGTTGGTTAGAAACCTTCTAATCGGAATAACCCATTATTGGAGAGGCTGGAACTTGCCCCATTGGATGCCACTAAAGACATTTGATCATGCCTATGACGCTGTCTTAATGTTTCTACTAGAAAGTAAAAGTAAAATTGGAGTGAACAGAAATGGTGATGCAAGATGGGTAAAGCACAGTATAATCAAGATGCTTTTCAAAGTCTCACTAGGTAAACATTAATCCTTGAAATAAAATGGAAATGATTGATAAAGATGGTATTTGCATTCTTCATTAGTTTACTACCTTTTTTCCCCAGAAAAAAAAAAGAGTAAAAGGACAAATTATAAATGGGGGAATATATTTACAATTTTCACAACCAAAAGGAGTAGTGTCAAGCATGTTTTAAAAATAGGTACAAATTGGTAAGAAAAAGAAAACCACTTAAACAAAAAAAGGCGAAGTATATGAATAGGAATTTTGCTGAAGAAGAAATATAAGAAACAAAATTATTAGAAATCAGGGAAATTTAAATCAGTATCATACCAAGATGCCCTTTTACATTGTTCAATTAATAAAAACTATGTGACACTATGAAATGTTAGAGTATATATGGCCAAACAGAATCTCTTATTCAGATGCAAATATATTCAAGATAGTTTAGCATTACCTCCAAAGGCTGAACACTGCATATATTATAAGGAAATACTTCTACTCTTAAAATATATAATTAAAATTATACAGGAAACTCTTGTCTGTGTACAATGGAAGCCATGTGCAACAATGTTCATAGCAATTTTGTTCACAATAGACAAACAAATGGGAAACGTTTACAAGAGACAAACACATGGGAAACACTCCAAGTGTTCATAATGAGAACACAAACTATGGGGTAATCACATAATGGATTATCATAAAGTGGTAAAAAAAACTAACTATGGTAACAAGCCCAATATGGATGAAGCTCAGCAGAATAATATTTAATGAAACCCCCCCCCCCACAGCTCCAACACTATATAAAACACGATGCTTTTAATAAAGCCAACATAACTGAAATTGAAAAAAATCAGTTGCATTTTATACAACAGTTAATAACTATATAGTTCTTGGGAAATCTTCAAATGTATAAAACAATATAAAGAGGAAACCTGAATGATGAACACTGACTTTAGAAAGATAAGAATATATCAAGAGAAAACACGGTAATGGGAAAGATAGACAAGAACATATGTTTAGATGTGGATTAGAATGTCTAGCACAGTGGTCGGTAAACTCATTAGTCAACAGAGCCAAATATCAACAGTACTTCTTCAAAATAGACTTGCCTAGGCTGAAAACCAACTTCTGCGCATGGGCCATGAAGTTTCAATCGCACTGTACGTGCACACCCACACGTGGTATTTTGTAGAAGAGACACACTCAAGGGGCCAAAGAGCCACATGTGGCTCGCGAGCCATAGTTTGCCGACCATGGGTCTAGTGGATTTACTTGTACTTGCTACATGCATAAAAATACTTAAGTAAATATACACAATATTAGAGGCCCAGTACACAAAAATTTGTGCACTCGGGGGGAACCCTCAGACCGGCCTGTGCCCTCTCGCAGTCTGGGACCCCTCAGGGATGACCACCTGCTGGCTTAGGCCCACTCCCCGGGGGATTGGGCTTAAGCTGGCAGTCAGACATCCCTCTGGGAGCCAGGGAGCCCTCGGGGGATGTCCACTTGCCAGCGGAAAGCAGGCCTAACCTGCAGTCGGACATCCTTAGCACGGCTGGGGAGGCAGGAGAGGCTCCCACCACCACCACTGTGCTGGCAGCCATCAGCCTGGCCTGTGGCTGAGCAGAACTCTCCCTGTGGGAGCTCACTGACCATGAGGGGGCAGCTCCTGCATTGAGCATATGCCCCTGGTGGTCAGTGTGTGTCATAGTGACCAGCCATTCCCAGTCTTTCTGCTGTTAGGGTCAGTTTGCATATCACCCTTTTATTATATAGGAGAGAGGCATGGTGCATGGGTGGGAGCTGGCTGGTTTGCCCTGAAGGGTGTCCCGGATCAGGGTGGGGGTCCTGCTGGGGTACCTGGCCAGCTGGGGTGAGGGGCTGAGAGCTGTTTTAAGGCTGGCCACACCTACCGGCAACCTAAGCTCCCAGCCTCTCCTTTTTTTCCCCTGTGATTTATTTATCTTCTATAATTAAAGCTTTGTAGCCTTCAGTGAAGCCCAGGGCAGTCCAGGGCAGGCAGGAAGCTTGACTTCCTCCATCTGGGGGGGGGTGAGGGTGGGGGCAACCCAAGCCTCCTGCTCACTCCAGCTCCATGGCTGCCGCCATCTTAGTTGGGTTAATTTGCATACTTGCTCCTGATTGGCTTGTGGGTGTGGCTTGTGCATAGCAGAGGGGCAGTTAATTTGCATGTTTCTCTTTTTTTTTTTTACTGTCATAGTTTTATTTTTTTTATTTTGTTTTTTTGCTTTAAGTACAAAGGGTACTACATATATCTCCTTTCCCCACCACCCCTTGACATGCCCTCGGCCTCCCCTACCCCCCAGTGTCATGTCCACTGATTTCTGGAGATGAGGTTCGTTCTCTGAAGCTGTAACTCCGTGTCAAGCACACAGTGTTGAGGGAACCAGAGGAGTAGGACCAGCGGGCAGGGTGATGAAGGCACCGCTGTGTGCACCGCGGGAAGGTGAGCGCTAAGCCGGAGCAGCTGCAAGGCGGACCTGAGAAAACATGAGGCCTGAATAGTTGCACGCAATGAAACGGCAGCTTTTCAGATTCCATAGCATAATGGCTCAGAGCAGCTTTCAGGTTTGTTTTTTTTTACAAAAATCCTCCACATGCGTGGAGAACACGTAAGTGCGCGTGAGCGGGATCTGGGTGGGAGTACGGATGGGAAAGGCCATCCTGCGAGGTCTAGGGAGGAAACGAGGTGCTGGTTCCAAGGTGGCCGTGGCCGTGGGTCAACTTGTTGATGATCCCGTACTTTATAGAAGGTGAAACTTGCCAGCGACAAACCGGAATATTCAGCTGAGATTTCTGAGCACAGTCCTAGGTCGGGCTTGATTCCTCTGGCTGCTTCCCTAGTAAGACGCCGAAGAAGGGGGTCAATGGAGGATGCCATTGTTAGGGAAAAAGGAACCAGAACCGGGAGCTCTGGGGAAACCTCAGCCCATGTGGATGTTAGGGCAACAGTGAGAAACCAGTCCGTGACGGGCAGGGCCTTCCGGGTAGGGGAGCCCCGGCGTACTTGACCCTTTACCAGGGGGAAGAACGGCGTCTAGTACAGCCAGGGAGCCTTGTTTCTGTTGCCCGAATTCCCTCCCTAATTAGTGGTGGGAGGTCAGCAGTGACAGTAAAAACGGCATGAAAACAGGGCCTCTCACCTGGAGAGCTGTGAATGAGTGCCCCATGGGTTCTTTTTAATTGCAGGGGAAGAGGGAGGAAATGCCTCCTAACCCTCTCCCTTACCAGGGAAAAGTGCTAATGTTATGTAAATTGAAATCTGAAGTCAGCAGAGCCCAGAGCCTTGGCATGGAAACCACAGTTCATCGGAGGACACAGCCGTCTTACACACGTGCTCGCATTTTATATCGCAATGTACGCAGGAGTTCCCAGGGAGTCGGAGCCTGGGAACCTGGTGTGAGAGCTGAGGGCACACCTGGTTTTTCTCCGTAAGAAGATGCCGTAAAGGCTACAGAACCCTTGAGAAATGGGGATAAGTGCACATACAACCCCTAAAAAACTTTTCACCCAGTGTGATCCCTAAGTTGCTCCATTAGGCAAATAGGATTTTTAAAAAGAAATTCGCGGGGGGGGGGATGGGGGGAGATTTGGTTACAGATAATAAAACATAAAATAAGTAGGGTTACTATTTCTCTTTATTTAAATGTTAAAAAAGGCAGTTATATTCCCAATCTTTTTCTCATTCCTTACCAGCTTTAGGCAAAAACATTTTTTAAAAAAATTTACATGTAGTGAATGTATTTCACAGATCATTATAAAAAATGATGGTTTTTAAATATATTTAGCCCAAGATCTGATAATTTTTACTTTATTGGGGTGGCACTGTTAATAAGAGTATATAGGCTTCGTCCAGCCGGCATGGCTCAGTGGTTGAGCGTCAACCTATGAAGGAGGAGGTCACAGTTCAATTCCCTGTCAGGGCACATGCCCAGGTTGCAGGCTCCATCCCCAGTAGGGGGTGTGCAGGAGGCAGCCAATCAATGCTTCTCTCACATTAATGTTTCTATCTCTCTCTTTCTCTCCCTTCCTCTCTGAAATCAATAAAAACATATATTTTTTTAAAAAAAGGTTATGCCGGTCACAAGTGTAAAATTCTACATACAGCATCTGCATATTTAGGCAAAAACTTTTTAACCTCTGGCAGCAGAGTTAAAAGAAATCCTTAGTCACCGTGTGTATATTTTACACATTTGAGCTTGGCATTAACGAAGAGGAAGCCGGAGGCCGTGCCCGGAGAAGACGTTGCTCTGCTAAGAATTAGTGGACAGTATTGGGGATGTTTCATTGCCTGGGGGAGCAGCTAGAACAGTGGAGAAAATTCAAAAAGAATAGGAGTGTTTTGCATAAAAATGGAAAGTCAATGACTTAAGCTAAAACGGAACATTTGTATTTACTTGTGTCACATTTGCTAGACAGAGTGACTCCCCACTTTCCCGACCCACGCATCTCGGTGTCCCTGACTTGGGAAATGTTCCCCCAGTGCCACCCGCCATGTGCCCTCACGCAGGAGCCAAGCGACCTGGGGAAGGAAGACAGGCGCCTGTGGCCAGGAGCCCAGCTCAACAGGGAGCCTGCGACCCAGATGGCTGCAGGCCCACATGCAGGCTGCCCTGAGGGCTGCTCTCAACCCCC